AGTGCTCAATGCGAGCTTGACATGCAAGAGAGGCTCTATCGTTTGGAGCAGCAAGCTGGTATTGTGTCTTCACCTCCACCGCCATTTGTGCCTCCCCGTGACCCTCTAGCGCTTTATGATGTGGCTTGTGAGGCCTACGAGGATGATGCTGCTTCTCACCCTCATGGCAAGAGCAAGGCCACTGTAGAAGACGAGGACTACATCAAAGAAGATGATGATGACAACGACGACGATGGTGGTGATGATGGTGACCATGATGATGATGAGGACTATGAGGACAAGTAATCATTTCTTTCATGCGACCTATCCCTTTTGGCTTTTGTTGACAAAGGGGAGTGTTAGACTTTGATCTATGTCGCACCCAGTTTTCCAAAGGATACCAAACGCTAACTATATGTGTGCCTAGGATGCAACACATATAGCGATAAATATGGAGAATATCAAGAACAATGCTTTATTATATATCTAAACATAGTTACAACAAGACTTATATCTATTACAAAGCATAGCGGAAACTATTCTATATCTTCTCTTCGAGTCTCCATACTCCACATGGACGGTTGACTAGGGGAAGCACTCGCCTAGTACTCATGATCTCCACAAAAAACTCTTCACTTGTTCCACCATCTGGTACCCATCCAGGATTTTTGTTGATTATAAAGCAAGTGTGAGCGCACCATACTCAACAAGTATAACATGAGGGGATGCAAGGCTCAAAAGGCTGGACACGGCTAAACTACGGTAAGCACTTTTAGTTGGTCATATTTTATTATTAAACTTATGTTGCTAGGTTATGCTTAAACTCCCAAGGTGAAAGTATAATTAACATCAAGATTAATCATCACCCTTACCATCCATAGAACCATCTATCTCGAAAAGGATCCAGGCCGCTCGTGTCCGTGAGCATGGTGATATATCAGTTTAATAACTTTGCAAAGGTTGTACACTTTCACCACAAGTCATGAGTGCCCATTGCCCGAGGCGTCCAACCTCTTGACTCACTTCCAAGGTAAGTCGGCAAGGATCACTACGAAGCTTTTCACATGTCGTTCTAATAAATAGTAGCCGCTAAGGTTTCAGTCGTCTAGTCATATGCTTCCCTCCTCCAGGAGTGGCACTCATGGTCGCAGCATAGTACATACCGGCAGGAAAAGAAACATATCAACTAGTGCCCCCCTCTTACCATTTCGGTAAGCTGCTGACGAACTAGAACATATCAAGATACTAGGCTAAGACTAGAGCCATGCAATTCTCGTGGTTGTACTATAAGTCCTAGGTTGCCGCTTTAAGATTCAGTCCCTATGGAGGAAGACTAGAACACCTAAAAAGGTCCAATGCTCTAGCCCCCTTCTATCCATGTTGTTAAAAAGCATCATTTTATCATTAATTCCATAATCCATTAGTCAATATTAACATATATGGTTTGGTGATTGCAGGCTAAGCAAAACAACCGATATGCATAAACCCAGGGTAACAAGGAATCAGGGTACAAAGATGCTAGGTAATCTCCTTAGAGGTCCATCATATTAGACACATGCACATGAAAGGTGAATATATAGTTATTGGGTAACAAGGGTACTCATGTTACACTTGCCTTCCAAAAGCTTGCCAAGCTCTCCACTTTTCCTTCTGGATCATCCTTGCATCTAACGTCAACATTAAGAGAACCTAAAAACAGTACAACATTACAAAAGTATACTATAAAGATAACTAACATGAGCGCAAGAACCAACTAAAATAGAGCTACGGTTAAAAAGTTATGGGCTTTTGAAGTTGGATAGCAAAACTGTAAATAAAGGGAACTCGTTTTTTGATTCTTAAAATAAATTAAACTGAAAAAGAAAATAGATCTGGACTTCTAGCATTATTTCTAAAAAGAACCGGGGCTGAAACGGAAGAATGACATGACTCATGAAACTATGGTCTAATTTGAGAGAAATGAAGGAGCTAGATTGTAAGTTTGCATGCACTATGCTTCACACTCAGTCCACGGTTCATGGACCGGAAAGGGACTGTGAGAGCAGTCCACCATGGACCATGTTCGGATGCTGGTGTATTTGGTGATGTATTTCTGGATTTGTTTTCCTAAAGAAAACGGCCATAAATCGTGTATTACGTCGGAGTGACATCATGAAGCTAATCTACCCTACCCTATAATACACCGGTTAGAATAAATCTACAGCCACACAACAATGTCTGCTTCACAGTTATGACCTATGCTATATCCACACCCATGAATACACCCAGAAAATATAACATCATCAAAATAGATATATCAGATTATCTCTTAGCCATTCTATCTCATTACTCGTCTAAATTCCGACGACTCATGTTTAATGTGTCTGCCCTCCACGCCGGCGCTCAGCACTCCACACCCCCATTCGGCAGCCACGCTTCGATCCCTGCTTCTCTCTCTCTTTTTTCCCGAAAAAACGACTCCAGTGACCGTGGAACGGCGACGCGACGGCGCGAGGCGGTTGCGCATCGGTGCCGGTGCTCCGTCCCCGTCGCGCTCGCGAGGGCGGGCGAGCGGCGACGCGGCGACGACGTCGAGGGCGCGCAGCGCGGCCCCCACGAGTGGGCTCGAAATCCTAGCTCTGGTCGCCGACGGCAAAGGCTGCTGTTGCGGCACTCCCGCCGAGGACGAGGCGGGGCAACGCCTTCACGCCCGTGGAGGACGCGGAAGCCACCACCGAGGCGTTCGATGCCAGCATCGACGCGGTGCGCTCCCGGCCTTCGAGCTCTACGGAGACGCCGTCCTCCTTTTCGTGCGTTACCCAGACGACACGGATGTTGCCTTCCTGCCCGGGTTCGAAAACGTCGCCAACTCAACAGAGATCCGCGCAAAGATGATCGTCGTTCGGTTCCTCCCACATGCTATCCATCCTCTCCTCCTTGCCTTCATCGCAGAAGCAGGGAACAGAGCCTACAATTTAGCTGCAATAGTCTATTACTGATTCAAACAAATGTGTAATAGTCTAGACTTCTGATTATGTTTGGTCTCAATTCAAAATGGTTCCTGATTAATTAGGCCAGTTTAATTATTAACCGAAACTCGTATCTGAATTGTGTCAGTGCAATGCCGATCTTATGATTATTCATTGGATTCAGTTTGAGTTGCTGGCCTGCAAAAGCATCTGGATTATCAGATATATACGCACTTGAAAATGCCATGAGCAGGCAGGCATCGACATGTACAGGCCAATGCATTGATTTTTTTTTTCAGAAGAATCAAACTTGTAGAATTTAACAATTATTAGTTGTCTGTAATTACGGACTGTGGCCGTGCTATGAAAAAGCGATGCGCTGCTTCCGCTGAAATGGAATTTGGCAACTGACGATGCATGGTTGGAGACTTTGTACTGTAGGTGACAAGATTCTGCGAGCTTTGAATGCATCATTGCGCGCCATCTGCTGGTGGACTTCAGTTCCTTAATTCTGTTACTACACATACAGTTGGGAAGAACTTCTATTGCTAGCAGTTTCTGACAGCAATTCCAAGTCCCATTATCTCCCATGCTTGATTCAAATATTTGGCATAGCAGAGAAAGGGTTTACAACCTGAATATTTGCCTTACTATTAAACTGAATATTTGGATACATGTAGATGCATATATGAACTTCTGAATACTAGGATCACAAGCTTATTGAGAAGTAGACACATATGAACCACATGATCAGATATAGATTACTCAAGATCTGACTTATTTATTGAATCCATGATCTTGCCAGCAAAAATTCTGATTACTACTGACTGTTTGCTAATTGTTTTGGACTCAGGTGTTAATACCGGGCTGAGTTGACGGCGTTAATTTTTAAGTGGATTTCAGATTTTAGAACTGTTTGTAAATGGATTTAAAAGGTATAAGTGATCTTTTTAGTGCTTTTTTGTATGTACCTTGCAATTATTTTAATTACTTAATTAAATAAATGATTCTGATTTTAGGTGGTCGAAGCAAATTTATATGGTGTAGATGAGGCTCTGCCAAGTATTATGGTGATCCTTTCGTCACTAAGTTATTTTTTCTTATTATTAAATCTTCATCACTAAGTTTTAGGTTTCTTTTTTTTCCTTAAATAGTCCAAATCTAAAGCAGTGATTAAAAAACATATAAAATATTAATAGCTAGAACACCCATGTCATTTTTTCTAGGTGCCACCTAGCGTTAGCACGGGAGAAAAGAACACGCACTGCCGGGCTGCTAGCTCGTCTTCGGCTCGCCGCGCAGGAAGGAGCTCACGGCGGTGCCATGGCCAGCACGGTGGAGATCTCGCCGGCGCAATCCACAACCCCAAGCTACACCGTATGGCAGACGACAAGATCATGCGCAAAAGGAAAAGCTCACTCCGCGCAGGATGAAGGGGATCTCGTCGACGAACGTGGTACAGAGGAGACGTGCTCCATGGGGAGGCGGACGAGGAGCTCCGGCAAGCACGGGTCCTGCACGAACGGCCACGGATTCCTGTCAAAGATGATCGTAGCATGAGCGCGAAGTCTCTGCGAGTTCAACAGAGAAGAATCAGAGAGGAGGAAGCTCAACCGAGGAGACCGACGGCAGCCGAGGTCGATGCGGCAATGGCGACGGCGGCTGCGACTGGTGGCGCTGCAACGAAGGAGAGAGGGAAAGAGCAGGCTGTGTAGTCTTGTAAATGATGATAGGAGCTCGAGCAGGGATTATATAGGGAGAGGGATGACGAATTTGGACGGGATTGGAGCTCGGTTCACTGCCATCAATGGCGGCCGTCGGTTAGGGCTATTAAGGGTCTTCAAACCGTCGATTGAAGGAGGGAAAATGAAGAGGATTAGTGATGGGTGCGTTTATGGAGTCGGTTTACTGCACGAGTGAAGGAGGAGGGTTGAATGGAGATCAATTTCTCCATTTATGGAGTACAGAGAGAGTGCGCGCTCCGGCTGGAGGTTGGGGACGACTGACAAGAGGGACCCACCTGGCGGTGACAAGAGAGAGGAGGTGGCGCGGTGGGCTTGTTTCAGCGCAAAGATGGGCCGCGGAAAGGCCCAGGTGGGAGGAGGTGAGTTCGAGAAAAGAAACTGGGCCTGCCAGGATTTGGCCCAGAGACGGAGGGAAGGAGTTTTTATTCTTTTCCATTTTTGTAAAACTATTTTGGAGTTCAAAAATCAAAACCTTTTCAATCCAACTCAGTTTTGAAACTCATTTAAATACTTTATTTATTTTATAAATAGAGAAAAATTCAAGTCAAATCTAAATCGAGTTTTAGTAAATTATTTTTCACCCAATAAAATTTATGTAACCGGCATGAATGCAACGCCCTGTCAAATTAAATTATAAAAGTTTGACAAAATCACATTTTTGCACTTTTAAAATTATCACAACCCATCCAAATCTTGAAAAAATTCAAGAAAAATATAAAATAATTTATTTTATTTAATGTTTTCTATTCACAACCCAAAATAGAAATTTTGGGGTGTGACAATCTATCATGTAATAAGTTAGTTGGTCGTCTAGTTTCAAGACTTTAAAACTTTTTAGCTTGTTTGGACTATGTCGTGTGGTGGCAAGTATGTGATGGACAACTATATATGTGTTTGTGATGGATGATTGTAGGACAAGTTATGTTTATCTATCTATTAGTTTGTGCTTGTCTCTACTTGTGATGATGAATGTTTTATTTTGGATGGCCATGTATTACTTCAAGTTCCTACTTTAAGATCTTGGCCATTATATTCTCTTTCACTTGTTGTGTGAATATAACTTGTCATATTGCATCTCTTTTTTACGGATATATATTTGTTTACATACACTTGTTGCACCTCACGGATTGCAAAATTTAGGGGGAGCTTTTGTTTTGATGTATGCAAATCATGTATAGATGATTCTCATTGAAATTCAATTTCATGCATACACCAAGGGGGAGCTCTTCATAAATTTTGGGGTTCAAAAACTTTAAATTCTTTCATTCTTATAAAAGCCTAAGTTGGTTGTCATCAATTACCAAAAAGGAGAAGATTGAAAATGCATTTGTCCCCTATGTGGGTTTTGGTGTATCGATGACATCCAAATTAGGGACTAATGTGATCTTAATGAGATATGTCGCAGCAATTAGTTCCATGAAAGATTTAAAGAGTTGACAAAGATGAAATAGTGTCCCTTAATTCTTGAAGTTAAAAAAGGCGTCGAACTCAAAGAGGATCTTGAAGTTTACATTTTATGCTTTTGAGTTTAGGTATGTCGTACTATAAAGAGGGATGCAAACTTAATTGGTTTAAGGAAGATAGAGTGCTCAAGTATAAAATTAAAATCAAAGAGAGACACTCTAACACTTCATGAGCACGTAGAATAGTTTTTGGTGACTTTTGGAGTCGAAAGTCCTGACGTAAGTCGAAATTGTCCCAAGTCCGGGAGTCCCGACACACGGACTTAGCCGGTTGGTGATTGAAGCTTTCACGCCTGGTCGGAAGTCTCGACTTAGGTCGAGTCTCGACACAGCCACCTGGTTGCCCTATAGACCATGCGCGCGTCGGAAGTTCCGGATCAGTTGGAAGTCCCGACGACGACGCCGAGCTCACGACATTGACGTGTTCGTAATGACTTTAACCTTGCATGAACAATATTTTCTTTATAGGTCGAAAGTCCTGAGATCTGCGTCGGAACTTTCGACGTAGATCTAAACGGTTGGATTTCTACCTTGAGTATAAATAGCTCTCTCCTCTCTTCTAACCGTGACTCGCTCATTCATTGCAACCTATTCACGACCAAAACAACTCTCAAGCATTTAAGACTCTCCTCCCCTCTCCCCTTTGCTCCAATCTTCGATTCCCCTAGGGTTTTGAATGAAAGGAGAGTGGATTGAGTGAGAGCATCACTTTGGCAAGCTTGAGGACTCAATTTATTAATAGTGGAGGACTTGGTGCTACGCTTTTCCTGATGTCATTGTTTCGCTTGCCAAGTCCAGCTAGTTATTGTTTCACTGAACGAAGGAAGGTGGCAGGCTTGATTCAGTCATTTCCAAGGCATTGTTTGTCTGGATTTTGCCTCAAGCCGGTTGGATTTGCATCTATTACTCTTGGGGCTTTTGCCTCAGCCTGGTGGCTAGGCGTCGCCCAAGAGCTTCCATCTTGTGGAAGAGCCTTGGGAAGTTTGAGTGAGAGGAGAGTGGATTGAGCGAGAGCATCACTTTGGCAAGCTTGAGCACTCAATTTCTTCATCAAGCCGGTTGGATTTGCGTCTATTACTCTTGGAGCTTTGCCCCTAGCCGGCTAAGCGTCGCCCAAGAGCTTCCATCTTGTGAAAGAGCCTTGGAAAGTTTATATTACCCTTGATTTCTTAGTGGAAACCTCGAGTGACCTTTGTGGTTGCTTTGAGAGAGGCAAGGAGGTGAAAGAGACTCCGACCTTTGTGGTCACCTCAATAACAAGGACGTAGGAGCTCCTTTGTGGGGTTACCGAACCTCGAGATAAATCCTTATGTCCCATGTGCTTGTTGTTGTTGAGACTTGTGCTATCACTTTTGTTCTTGTGTGCCTCTTCCTCCCCAAGATTTTCTTAGGGTTTGAACTCGATCTACGGAGTGGTGACCTTTTGGCGTCAAAGGAGCAACCTCAACGCGTTACCTTACCACTAGAAAGTGGGGTTGTAAGTTATCGAAGTCACAAAGTTCATTTTAACACTTGTAGTACATTTCCCGTAGGCCGACGACTTCTGACAGTTTGCGCCGGAACTTCTGACGACGTCGGGAGTTCCGACCCAAACTGTCGTTACTTCCGACAGTTGCTGACAAATGACTTTAAATTTTATGTGGAATTTTTTAGATAAGCCTATTCACGTTCCTCTCTAGGCATTGTTTACATCCTTTTAGGCGCCACCTCTTTCCTAACCGTCAATGAAAAAAGCGTGGCGCAAGAGAAATCTCTAGTGTACTAGTGGCAACTGCTATCAGCATGCAACTACTACGCCTATAAACTCGCCCCTGCATGCTAGTGCGCCTACGCATGGAGTGGTGCGCCTCATGCCTACTGATGCGCATGCAAGTGGGGACCGCTACGCACGTGGGGAGCGCATCTGCATGCGCCCGCTCCCTACGCCTGTTAATGTTGCAATATTAAAGCACATCTGCAACATATGTCTAAAACAGGTGAAACATTTATAACAGATACGTTTGCAACACACATGTGTATAGCAACTACAATATCTAGATAAACACATTTACAACATACGTCTGAAACAGATGAAACATTGTTGAATAGTCGCTTGCAACATATGTTTAAAATATATGCAACATTGCAACATATGTAGCATCCAGATGAAACACTTGCAACATAAATATGAAACATGTGAAATATTTGGAAGATACACTTCCAATATACGTTTGAAACAACTGAAACATTTGAAACATACACTTGCAACGTACGTATATAGCCACTGCAACATATGTAACACCAGATCTTCTTTTGCAACATCTAGATGAAACAAATGCAACATACATCTGAAAATACATGAAACATACGGTTGCAACATGTGCTCATCTACTTGTTGTAGTCCAATGGAGGCTAGTTGACGTGGTGCGGATAGGGTGCGTGGCACGCAAGCACGAGGCGCAAGGCGTGGGCGCACGCGGTGCGAGGAGGGGTCTAGTGTGACCGTGTGAGGCGCGAGGTGTAGGGGCGCATGACGCGAGGCGGGAGGCGAGGCGGCGCATGGCCTTGGCGAGTCTGCTATTGAGGAAACATTTTCTGCACCGTGTATGAGGCGTGATTTTTAGGAAAGTGCGAGTCGCGAGGTGCAGAGGCGCAAGGCACAAGGCGGGAGGCGCAGGGGCGCGAGCGTGGCAGGTCCATCCCGTCCGGACGGATGGACGTCCTGAGCCAGCCATAGATTTGATAGGTTTTTTTTTAGGAATAGATTTGATAGCTGGCATCCTTTGTATGAACACACGTTTATATGAGCTTCTTGTCTTTGGCCCGCTCAAACTGTTAAGGGAAGGCCTTACCACCGTTATGGTCCAGGCCCACGACATGAGTTGTATAACTTACTAGCCATGGCGGCCGTTGGAGCACCCGGAGGCCCGGACCGCGGGCTAGACCTAGCCACCTAGGCGAGGCGAAGAGCGGGTGGGTCGGCGGCGGCCGGGCGAGTAGGCTACGAGCGGCAGCGAGCAGCGCACGGCGTCCGGTGGAGTTCAAGACGAGCCATCAGTTCGCCGCGGAGCCAGCGTGGCTCCCACAGCGGAGGCCGGAATGTGAGTATCCTCATGTGCTGCTCTTCAGTCCAATTTAGATTAAGCTTTTGTTAGGTTGTGGAATCGGTGTTCAAGTTCACGGGACCTGTGTTAGGAAGCAGTCGGATGCGACGAAGTTGGGCTCTGGTTTTTTCGAGTTCAAACTTGACTATTCGGAGACAAAGAACATCGTCATCGGGGACTCTGTCAGCTCCGATGATATCTCCGCGGGGGGACACCTCTGGAGGATTAACTGCTACCCTCGTGGGGATAGGGAAGAGGAAAAGGGCGAGTACGTCTCCTTGTACCTCGAGCTTATTAGCGATTCGAAAGCCGTCAAGACCATCTTCCATGTTTTTTGTGTGGGAAGAGAAGGTGAAGCATCTGTCTCCTATTTCTCCCATGATAGGAGGTTTGTCAATGTTTACTCGTGTGAATGTCCCGAATACACTGAATCCTGTGGATGGCGTCAGTTTATGAAGCGAAGCGTTCTTGGGTCAGTCTATGTGGCAAATGGTTGGGTCACGTTTCTATGTAACATCATAGTTCTGGGTGCCGACACCATTCCAGTGCCACCCTCCAACATAGGTTCTGATCTCGGTTGTCTGTTTGACTCCAATGTTGGGACAGATGTTTCGTTCATTCTTAAAGGCGAGATGATCCAAGCTCACCGTGCTATTCTTGCTGCCCGCTCGCCAGTCTTTCGAGCTGAGCTCTTTGGCTCCATGGACGAAGCCACAGCATCATCCATCACACTGCAGGATATGGAGCCAGCAACATTTAAAGCTATGCTTGCTTACATGTACACGGATGAGACGCCTGAAGATGATGAGCTTGGAGGCTCTGCCACTGAAATGGTGCAGCATCTACTTGCTGCGGCTGACCGCTATGCATTGGACCGACTGAAGCTGATGTGTGCTCAGAAGCTATGGGGCATTATCTCGGTGGATACATTTGCTTCTACTCTAGCTTGCGCCGAGACGCACAGCTGTGCAGAGTTGAAGAGCAAGTGCATTGACTTCTTTGCCGTGGAGAACAATTTCAAGAAGATAGTGTTCACAGCTGGTTTCATGTCTTTGGTGCAGGAATTTCCTGATCTTGCTGCTAAGCTGAAAGAGAGGGTTGGGATATAATATAGCATGCTGAAACCTCCATGTATATAGTCTACATGTTCAACCATGGATTCGGTGTGCCATTTTGGAATGATGGTTAGTTGGTGACTGTCTCGTAGATTTCTCAGCATATTAGGAATTAGGATATGTAGTTTTTGTTGACGAACTGAATGCCTGATCTTGGCACTATATTTCTTGCATTGTTAAATGAATATGCTGCCAAGGATTACTGACATGGAAGGCAAGGTGGATGGTACTGGCACACTACTCAGGTGCAAAGCCACGGAGGTTATGCTAAACTAGTAGACTAGTTTGTCTTTTGGGTTTTATTTTTGTAAAAATAACCTTAATCCCCCAAGCATGTTGCGAATATAATATACCTATCGTATCGCAATTTGGTAATTTGCTTTATAGTCCATATAACCTTGTGCTGTTTGATTCATTTGAGAACTGGAAGTCTTGAAGTAATGTCGCATTGACATGCATTGGAGGCTTAGACAACACCCTGCCTTGTGTATCTAAAGGCATATACAGCTACTTGTCATCACAGATGGCAGCAGGAGGTTGTTTCTTTTAGTTGCTAAGAAACATATAGTTGTGGATCAAATACGTTATCTGTTCTCCATGGAACATTTGATTGCTGTTTCTGTCATACCTGTGGTATGTATCATTTTGTATGTCTATGCGATTAGACCTACTATGTTGTATGGTACAGAATGTTGGCTTACGAAAAGACGACATGTTCAACAGATAAGTGTCGCGGAAATGCGTATGCTGCGTTGGATTTGCGGTCATATAAGAAGGGATCGAGTTCGGAACGATGATATACGTGACAGATTAGGGGTAGCACCAATTGAAGAAAAGCTTGTCCAACACCGGTTGAGATGGTTTGGACATGTCCAACGGAGACCTCCAGAGGCACCGGTGCGTAGTGGAATCCTAAGCTAGGATAGTAACGTGAAGAGAAGCAGAGGAAGACCGAAGTTGACTTGAGTAGAGGCAATAAAAGGAGACTTGAAATGATGGAATATACCTAAAGACTTAGCCTTAGATAGGAGTGCTTAGAAAACAGCTATTCACGTGTCTGAACCTTGATTGCTTCTGCTGAGTTTCAACTCTAATTTACCCTAACTTATTTGGGACTTAAAGGCTTTGTTGTTGTTGTTGTTGTTGTATGCTAACATAATACTCCAGCTTTCTCTCCTTGATTCATTCAACTATGGGAATTTCAAAATTGTGACACCTAGCTGTGTAGATGGATCTTATCTGCTCATTCAGGTACTTCTTCAATTTACATTATCATGTGTGAAAGTTTGTGACTTGGTAATATATTTTTATTTTCATGGTTGAAAAGGGGTGTTAAGCAATGGGTACTTGATGAAATTAGATGGTGAGTTCTGAGTTGAGAACCATGACAGTGTAATCTAGTGGTGTGAACTATCTTGATGGTACTGTGAGGTTGGATTATTACTGAGTTTTTACAGCATGACGTTTCAGACAAACCGATCAAACAGAACAGGCCTGAAAAAAAGTTTTTTATTCTGGTTAAAACATCATATTTATTCTGACTGGTGGTAGTAGGAATCCTTACCAATGTCAACCATATTATTGGATTTTTTGGAGTACTTGTATCACCTTTGATTGTTGGTACTAGTGTGCATGAATTGGCTCTCTGAATGGCACTATCAGATACTTTGAGCAGCATGTTAGACAATCAAGTACTTTACATTGCTATACCACAACGTTGTATCATTCGGCATATTCATACTTTGATATTTACCATAGTGCATGGTTCATTTGGTGGCTGAAGAACTGAAATTGATGACAACTGACACCTTAAAAATGTCGATGAAGCCTCATGTCCAGGGCATTCTCTATATATTTTTCATGAAATTCTCTCTATATTTTGTTCTTTCTTCTGTCTCACACTTTGTTTCAGACAATGGCTTCCCATGAGTTATTGGTGAGATGTTCATTCATATACAAGAGAGTGGATTTAGAATTGATGACTGCCGTAGCACACACACATAATATAACATGAACAGAAACTCAGAGATGTGTATGTATGTCTGCCCTGTTGGAATTTGAAGGAGCAGTCTTATCTCTTGCAATTCTCTATTTAAGGGTACACGAGACCTACAGAACCTTTCCTGCTTCATCCCTGTCATGATATTTGCAAAAAATTGCCCCTTTTTTTAAATTCTTTTCCTGATATCAGTTCCTAGAAACTGTGATCGGTGAGTATGCAACCACCTTGAAACTTGAATCCTCTGCCTAAAATATTCTTGACGGCTACATACACATAATCAGTATTTTGCACATTCGAACCGTGGAAAATGGTGCCGCGCCCATCCATCAGTATACTGAAAGTTTGGGGGGCATGGAGAACTGGAGACGGACTGATGCAGATTGCAGCGCCTGTGTTTCTGTTTTCTGCTGCTCTTGTGTTTGTGGCTCCCTCAACATTCCTGCAAATTTCAGTAGCTTCTTTCTCTCAACACATTTGGCAGCTGCGTTGCCACGCGAGGCGGGACTGGGCTGCATGCAGTGCAGCTGGCATGTGCAGTGTGCCGACGGCAAAAGGGGCACCCGGTGTCCGGCCACGGACGCCCGGTGTGGTGTGGGTCAAACGGCAGCTGAAACGAAGGCGGCTCTCGAGCTCCGTCCCTTGTCAAAACCGAGGCGGCTGCATTGCATGCCGTGTTGGTTCACATTCGCTCATCAATATACGGCCGGCAGCCTGTTCGGTTGGCTGGTTTGTTTCGTCCTAGATAGGTTGGTTCGTGAAGAAGTACTCATGTTGGCTGGTTTGAATTGTGTGAGAGAAAAATACTGTTCCGGCTGAAAATTTACGATCGTTTCAGCGACTCCAACGACAAGCCACAGCCAAACGAACAGGCTGGTTGGGTGGCAATGAACCGTTCAAACTCCCTCCTCTCTACTGTGTACTACTATATAGAGTTGAGTTACTCATCAGGTACATTCGCAAAAGAGTCTCATCCTAGATAGGTTAGTATAGCTATAGGTAGGAGTAGTATACAAGAACAACCACACATCTCCGAGCTCTATGGCAACATGTTGGGAGTCTGGTTTCACCGAATTCAAGCTCGACTTCGCAGGAACCACCAAGACGCTTGCCATCGGCGACATCGTCAGCTCCAACGATTTCTCGGCAGGAGGGCACGTGTGGAGAGTAAATTGCTTCCCACATGGAGATAAGAAGGCTGGCAATGGCGTTTTCCTCTCTCTCTACCTACAGCTCGTCATCAACGACTCCAAGTCCAGGAACGTCAAGGCCATCATCGACGCTTTCCTGCTCGGCAGAGACGGCGCACCGTCATCTTCGCACGGACAGCGCTGCGTGCATGTGTATCCACCCGAGGGTTTGCGATCATGGGGGTATGGGTATCCACAGTTCGTGAACCGGAGCGTTCTAGAGTCGGACTACGTCAAGGACGGCTACGTACGTCACATTCATGGTTGGAGTCATAGTTCTTGGTGACAGCCCAATAACCATGCCATCCTCCCACATCGTCGAGCATCTCGGCCGCCTCCTGGATCACACCAACGGTTCGGAGGACGTGACTTTCTCAGTCGACGGCGGGAAGTTCCGCACGCACAGGGCCATCCTCGCCGCCCGCTCGCCGGTCTTCAAAGCGCAGCTCTTCGGCTCCATGGCCATGGCAGACGCCAAGATGCGCTGCATCACACTGCACGACATCAAGCCGGCAACGTTCCAGATCCTGCTAAGGTTTATCTACACCGATGAACTACCAAGAGATGAGGAGATCCAGAGCTCTTGTTCCAACATTGAGTTGTTCCAGATTTTGCTCGCAGCAGCTGACATGTACCAGCTGGACAGGCTGAAGCTCATGTGCGCACGCAAGCTATGGGAGTGCGTGTCGGCGGAGACTGTTGCCAAGGTTCTCGGCTGCGCTGAATTGCACAACTGCCCGGAGCTGAAGAGGACGTGCCTCGACTTCTTTGTCGTGGAGAAAAATTTCAAGATTGCTGTGCTAACTGATGGGTACTTTCAGCTCATGCAGAGTTTTCCGTCCGTCATTGATGAGATATAAGAGCGCGGCGCAGGTTCGTCAGACAGACCTAAGACATATGGTGCATCATGCTAGCTAGAATGGTTTGCAGTTTCTTGAATGGAACATATTCATATATATGTAGGCCAGACTGATGCTTTACTCATCATGTATCTTCTATTGTTATCTGTCGATTGAGTTATAAAATCATGCCTGGTTAGTTGATATATCAGGTACTGTATGAAATACACCGAACCATATGAAAACTAGGAGATACGAATGGAATTATACACTATCAACTAGGCAATATCGCCACAAGAATTGCCGTAGTAGTATACTAGTATCCATATAACCATGTTCTAACTAAACCACCCCTCGCGAGCCTTGATCCCACGGATGCATGTAGGTCACGAATGACTGTCATGGATACTTCTTTACCTCAGCTTCAAACTCGGACACTTCACGCTCTCGGACGGCTAATGCGCATTCGGCCATACACTTCTAAAAGTCACACGATGACCATCTATCCTACATAGAAAAGTCAATGGTTAAAGATACAAACAATGAATAGAAAAATAACTATAAATGCTTTAATTAGAGTACATGGACCACTTAACACCTGGCACACCAAAATAACGGAACAAGGGAAGGACCCGCCCACACGTTCAACCGCAACATACATCTATAACAGATAAAACACTTAGAAACATACATGTATAATCATAGCAACATATACAACATCCAGATCCACTTTTGCAACACAAGTCTGAAAACATCAGAAACACTTGAAAACGTATACTTGAAACATGCGTGTATAGCCATATGAAACAATTGTAACATCAGTATGAAACATGTGAAACACTTGAAAACATATACTTAAAACATGCATGTATAGCCACATAGCAACATATGCAACATCCAGATGAAACACTTGAAACACACGTCTGAAACACTTGAAAACATACGCTTCCAACATGCGTATATTGT